GACTGCAAATTTGCCTCACAGTCACATGGCCATTTAAGCTGTTGCTAGGCTGTGATGTCAGTGCATAAAGGTGTAATTTGTCCCTTTAGCCACACAGTTCAAATTAGATCCCTAGTGTCTTTTGGTCATGTGCTTCTCTCAAGATACCACAGTACAAATGTGCTTACAAGTTCATATTACAAAGATGCAAACAAGCAACTTCAGCTTGTTAGTTATTGGAAGTTGGGTGGGGAAGGTAGAAAAATAGTACAGGGCTAAGAACCTCATTACTCCAGGAAAAAAGTAAGTTTGACCAGTAAGAGCTGTGCATAGGGATTTCTCGACCCTCTTCACTAGTTTCTTTCAGTAGATGGTAATTAAACAGATCCTCAACCAGTCAACATGCAGAGAGTAGACTGTTCAACACTAAATGAGATGTGCACCACACCCCTTCTCCAGGGCTCTGAGATTTTGTGGATGATGGGGTAGAAAGACTTTAAGAGCAAGGCTGGTGGTTTATTTCAAGCAAACTTTTCCATATACAACCTAGAAATTGCACATATGAACTCAGCAGTTTGTGAAAACATGATCAAACCAACGTTCCAAAGTGAAGACAGGAAAGTAAGCACAAAACCCCATCACTAGCTAAGGAGCTCTTATGGCATTACCCCTGGGGTCACATTCTAAGGCAGGCCTCTACTCTGAGCAGTTGGGCAACACAAATTGGACTCTGGGTTTTTGTTTTGTTTTGTTTTGGTTTTTCGAGACAGGGTTTCTCTGTGGCTTTGGAGGTTGTCCTGGAACTCGCTCTGTAGACCAGGCTGGCCTCGAACTCACAGAGATCCGCCTGCCTCTGCCTCCCGAGTGCTGGGATTAAAGGTGTGCGCCACCAACGCCCAGCTTTGGACTCTGAGTTTTAAGTTGGGTGGGTAGGAAGTTGAAGGTGAATCTGGGAGATGGGAGTGGGAGAGGTGTGATCCAAAATACATGGATTCAAATTCTCAATAGGAAAGTTACTTAAGCTACGTGTTGGTGGTGCACACCTTTAATCCCAGCACTCAGGAGGCAGACACAGGTGGATCTCTGTGAATTCGAGGCCAGCCTGATCTACAGAGTGAGTTCCAGGACAGCCTCCAAAACAATACAGAGAAACGCTGTCTCAAAAAACCAAAAGGAAAAAAATAAAAATGTTAAATAAGAATCTAGCCTGGCGGTGATGGCATGCACCTTTAACCCTAGCAGAGGAAGGCAGATCTCTTGTGAGTCAGAGCAAGTCCAGATAGCCAAGGCTACACAGAAAGCCTGTCTCCAGTCTGCCTCCCCCCCCAAAGAATCTATGAGCTAATAGTGATTTTCAAGTTGGAGTTCAGGGGCTTACTAAGGGAGGGGCGGTGGACTGTCAGCTAATAAATGTAGAGGGATGATACACTTGAGAAGTGCTTCTTTGTAAAATGTAAATGGAATACTGGGTTTGGGAAATCCAACTTGCAGGGCAAATGCAAGGATTCAGGCAGGATATCAATGAATGCTAAAATCACAGTGTGAACATTACATCCATATTGCCTCCAAGTAGCTCCCAATCCACTTGTTTTAAAAAAGTGATGGAAAAATAGGGATGGGTAACAGACACGAAGTGATCAAGCACACTGGAATACTGTGACAACCCATATGGGCCATAATGAATGCAACATGACATCTATGAAGTCTTCTGTCAAAATATTTCTCCTCAGCATATCCTCATGAGAATTAGACTTTTATATGTAACTGACACAATCTTTCAAGTATTAATTTCCTAAAACACTAAAAGGGCAGGGAAGTTATTCTAGAACAAAGACAACTACTGCTCCAAGACAGGCAGGGTAGGGTGCTCAGAAGAAACAGGGAGTCTGCATAATTATGCACCCATGTTAAAACTTTGTTGGTGTGATGATTATGTTGTGACTGGGTAGACTGCTTTGCTGAGGTGTGGGTACTTATTGGAAATTAAACTGCAAAGCTTCCTGTGCTAATCAAGCACTCTATCAACAAGTTATACTCCTGGCCCAAACACCCTTAAATACAGGCTCAAGCAGTAACAGGCAAAGTATAAAACCCTTTTCTTGTGTACAAAGCCCTGGGTTCAATCCCAGAACCAGGTCAGAGTAAAGAACATGATGGGGGATATCCTTCTGTACGCTGTGAATATGTTTCTCTTATTGGTTGATGCATAAAGCTGTTTTGGCCAATGGACGGGCAGGATTTAGCCAGACAGGAAATCAAATCAGGGTAGAGAAAGGTAGTAGAGGAATCAAGAAAACGCTGGGCAGGTAGGATACCCAGGTATTCTCCTATAAGCCAAGACGTGGAGATGCATAGAAATGGGTTAATAATTAAGAGCTAGCCAATAAGAAGCCTGAGCCAGCAGCCGAACAGTTTATAATTAATATCAGCGTCTGTTTATATTAATTATTAGTGTTTATTTGGGATTAAACAGCTGTGGAACAGACACTTCCATCTACAAGTACACACATAAGTAAATGAAGCAAAGGTGGCAAAAGTTTTACAGATGGATATAGATAGTATTTCACTCCACTATACTTTCGTCTGTAATTTAAAACACATGGAAGTATTACAAATGCTGATGAAGAGACTCTAAACTACTTACCCACCAAAAAAACATAAAACAAAGATAAGGAATGTGAATTTATTTTCACTGTCAGTGTAACTAGATTTGGAGTCACCCAGGAGACAAACTTAGGGGAATGTCTGGAACGCTTCCATAGTTTTACCTGAGAAGACCCATGCTGAATGTAAATGGCAACATCATATGGGCTAAGGTCCTGGACTGAATACAAAGGAGAAGGAAGCCAGCTAAGCACCAGCATAGCCTCACCAGCTCCCCAAGGACACAAGGTGACCTACAGGTTGATGATGCACCATGTCCCTCCCTTCTAAACTATATGCCCAAATAAATCTTCCCTTAGTTGCTTTTGTTGGGTATTGTCAGCAACAAAAAAGCACTAATACCAAGGGCAGACAAGTTTTCTTGGTATTGGTGCTCTTATGATCGCTTATTTTTATTGGAGTCACCTAGGAGACACACTTACGGTAAGTGCAAATGGACAGGAGGAAAAAGAACGATCATCTCACCAGTTAGCCTGTGCGCTGCAGCAAAGTTTACCACTGCCTACTATAATATACAAGGCCACCACCTCAATCCCAGCACTGACAAAAAAGCTAACACATTAACTGTGGTTGTACACTGATAAAAATACAAGTTTTGTAAGATAAATGCATTTTTTGGCTGGACGGTGGTAGCGCACGCCTTTAATCCCAGCACTCGGGAGGCAGAGGCAGGTGGATCTCTGTGAGTTCGAGGCCGGGCTGGACCGACACCCTCCAAAACAATACAGAGAAAAACCCTGTCTCATAAAAACCAAAAATAAATAAATAAATAAATGTATTTTTAATTGGATATGTAATTAGACTAGAACCTATATTGGTTTTGTGTTTTTTAAATTCAAAGCAAGAAAAGCATTCCCACCAGCATGTCTAATCTTTTCACAAAACTACCCCAAGATTTTGCTGCTGAAGCTTTCTTTTCTAATGATATAAATTGAACACCACCCCACTTACTATTCTGTCAGAATACAAACTGTTCCCCTAAATACACTTGGCCTTAAATCTCTCATAATACAGCTACATCTCAAATAACGCTGGCACACTGGATTAAACAACATGCACTTATGGTATCTGAAAAGGTGTGTATACTCCAATGGTCATGAGTTTACATTATGAAGTTAGCCTCATTCCCCTGAATTCCCTCTGAAATGCCAACAAATGCAACTACAGTAAGTGGGATAATCATTCAAACGTTTAATCTCCCTTTACATATTATATTAACATTCATATTACAAGGCATTCCATCCACAAATATTACAGTTTGATAAAAACTTTAAACACACACACACACACCCCCAGAAGTCTACACCAGATTCAATACTTTACTAAATTATTAAAATAAAGTCATGAAAACATTATCATTCTCTTAAAGCAATAAGGTCTGAGGCACTCTGGAAAAGATGATGTCTTAAGTATGTGTCACAGGTGTAATCAAGGATACACTCACGACAACTTATAATCTGCTGTATCTCCACTGCATACACTTGTACTTGGACAACCACCAAAGATGCTGGCACCAGAGCCATATTTGATGAGGTTCTCAAATACAGAGGTGAGGTACACTTGCAATACATGGCAGCAGCACACACCCCCCCCTCCCCACTGAGCACTTACAGTACTGCAACAAGTTCCTTTCTCACTCTGTTAGTTTACTAAATGGTGAAACTCACCTGTGACTGCCCGCGCCTGGAAACACTTTGGAATTCTTCCCCCCGTCCTCTGCCTGCCACAGGGCAACTGCCACTCTTCGGAGGTATGTATACCTTAGAACAGAAGGGTTCTGACCTCCCACTTTTTTCTGGCCAGAGTCTGAAATAGCAGTGTGTTGTGAAATGACTGCAGTTGCCAGCCACCATCTGCTGGACAGCTATTTTTACCACACAAGACCTTATAAAGTTTGACCACCTCCCAAGTGAGCTTTACCATTCCCTCTCTGACACGTCCACACTGCAGAAGTCCTACACACACAAGGTAAGTCATTAGCATGAGAGCGAGAGGAGGCCAGTTCCCAACCAGGAATTAATCACTAACAAATTATGGATCCACTTATGACAGCAGATATCCTGCCAAAGCAGAATCAACCCAGACCAAAGGTCATGTGGTGTTCAGTAATTATGTGCATGGAATTTAAAATGGATGCATATATTTGCCACATATATATATATCAATATATAATAAAAAATCTGGAACACTGTGCTGCTAAAGTTTCAGGATTCCTTCCACACTCGCCTGGAGAGCAGCTGGCCCTTAGCGGCAGGTCTGTGGCAGTGATAAAACAAGGAGAAGCAGACTTAGGTCAAAGTGCTCAGGGACGGAGAAGAAAACACAGTACAGAGAACTGAGGGGGCGAGGCCAGGGACTGAAGGAAGTAAGCAAGGTTTCCTTTATTCTTCTCAGCTTTTTCAGACCCCAAAAGAAGCTCCTGAGGGCACACATCGAACGCTGTAGTCCTTTCGTATCCACAGCCAAACAAAATGAGTGATTTTTAAAAACCTCTTCATTTCTGTACCTTCAATAAAATGCACAGTACAGGATGGTGTTCAGGTATTAGGCATCGTGGGAAATTAAAACTGGGACATGAAATGAGGCCGAGAGCTATCGAGTCTCCGGGTGAGAATGTCACAGCCAGTGTCCGTGACCAGCAGGGTGTGCTCAAACTGAGCGGACCGTTTTCCATCCCTTGTCACTGCAGTCCAGCCATCTGGCCAGGTCTCATCCTGCCATCCACCTTGAACAAGCAAGAACAGGTACTTAGCTTTGTCATCCACATTTCTAATGGTCTCTAGGTAAGTATGCATCAAGAAAGGAAATAGCCTATTGCTGGCACAAGCCTTTAATCCCAGCACTTGGAAGGCAAAGTCAGAAGGATCTCTGTGAATCTGAAGCCAGCTGGCTTCGACACAGTGAGTTTCAGGACAGCCAGAACTGTTACACAGAAAACCCTGTCTGGAAAAACAGACAGAGAGAAACCAGGCAGTCAAATGTGCTATCGAGACCCTCCTGATGCCTGGTTTTAGTAAAGCCTGTCCACTTTCGTTCCCGTGGGCAGCACTAATGAAGTAATCATGTCCTGTTTCCCCCGTGTGTACCATTTTTTTATTTCTTGGTATCAAATCAACGTGGCACCCCCAAAATAAAGGCATCAGACTTCCTCCAGAGACTTATAATCTGAGAACTGCTCATGACAAGGAGCCCGTCATTACAGCCTGTGCTCCAGAGACTTCAGTGTCTGTGATGTGTTTCCTGTGATGCTGCACGAAACCCAGGTGTGGGTGCTGTGAAGGACCGGATGCCAGCAGAAGCAGCTATGTGTCCTGAGCAAGGATCTGTTTACCCTTCTAATGCCTTCTTCTAAGGCTGGAATTAATGTGTATAACTGTCTGTTTCCTCTTCCCCGCCTACATCACACAAGAACTTGTACAGAAGTTTGATGTAGAATCTTATTATAACCCATCCTCTGATAAGATCTTTAGGACTAGGGACCACAGTCAAGTACTGTACACTTACTGACAGGAGAATTATCACAGAAAGCATCTTCTTCTTAGGAACGCTCAGATGTTCAGTTCTCTACATATTACCAATCAAGAGGCAATTGGGAGAAGAAAGCAAAGGAAGCAAGCAGAACCAGCCACTGATTTGATGGGTAAGAAAAATAAATAAAAATCCAACAAATGTTAAAGCCTGGCATTCAGCAGAAAAGAGTGCTTAGCAGCACCTGACAGCTACATTTGACTCCCACACACAGCAGAGAGCAGTCCCTACTGTGTCTGTCTTCTACAGACTGTGTGTGTACTTGCAAAACTTAAAGACAAAAAAAAAAAGAAAGAAATGCTATGCATAGAGTACTCACCTTCACAAATCATTGGTTCAATTGTAAACACGTGGCCAGACTTCATCACACCAACTGCCTTATTCTCTGAAATTAAAAGAAAGTCTCAAGAGACACCAAAACCCACGAGCGTTGCGCTGAACAGCTCTCAGAATCACGGGACTGACATTCCCAACAGTCCCGTCCACTCCCCTCCCAACTGTCTCACTGTCACTCAGCAGAGAGGCTGTCGCCAGTAACCATCTGTCTGTGGGCAGATTTTATTCCAGACTCATGCTTTCTACGATAAAATACGGGCATATCCACAGGCTCAGCTTCAGAGACAATCACCATTGTGGAAAAGTATCTTTATGTTAACACAGATTAGAAAAGGCAAAGACTGCTCGGTGTGGTGCAGCACATAATTCCCAGAACTCCACAAGTATGTGGGAGAGGGAGGGTAGTTGTCCAACAGAATGCCATTATCCATCACCCATCCACTTATGGAAGTTTGAATGGCATGTGTCATATACCAAAGCCTCTCACTTCTTTGAGGAAGCGGAGTATGTTTATATAATGGAACACACTAACACACACCTTTCAGAAAGGTTTGTAAGTAATCTTTTATCTCACTCTCAACTGGAAATAAAACTGCATAGTAGACAATTTGTTTAAATAATGAGGAGACATTTCTATCTAAAAACAAATTGCATTTCACACTATAAATATTCCTTTGGTCCTTTGTCAAGTTCACAAATAATATTTCTCAGTACCACCAAGAGACATGATTAAGAGTGTCTAGTCTTGCTTTGTCTCCAAAGCCAGAGTTTAAAAGTAGGAACAGTCTAGTCAGAAGATCCTGACCAATAAATATATGGAGCAGTTTTAAATTAAAAAAAAAAAAAAAAAAGAGCATGGCATTTACTCAGGCTGGCCACCAGAGGGCACACGCGTCGGTCACTGCAAGGTTCTTTTCCTGTGAAGGCATCCGTCCCAGTGGGATTGCTACTGTACAAACATTACCTGCATGCTACGTGGGCAAGCTACTGTTTAGGTGTGATGGAGCCTCACCCACACACTTCCATTCCAGCCCTTCCTGGTGTACAGCCAGCCACACTGCTCGGCTTCCCAAAGTGCACTCACAGCAAATCCTGTTCTTAAACTCATGGGAACCCTTAGAAGCAGAAATAAACTAAGAACAGTAAGAGTCAGGTTTTTCCATTTCTAATATCGTGAACTTTCTCTCAAAACAGTCTGCAACTTCTGGTTTACAGGGAGTCGGTCCCCTGGGTGTGGTGCCACAGAGAACAAAAGGCATGAAGGGATTTTAGGCTTTTCCATCTGATGCTGCCACAGCAAGAGATTATTAATGTTAAAAACACTGCCAAACTAAAACAGAAGGTATTACGTATCTGACTTTTATACTGATTCACTATTGGGATTATGAGTATAAGGGACCCAAAGGGTAGAGGATTAAATCCCACTGATTAGTATTAGAAACGCCCTGCAACTCAGATGACTTGCTACTGCCTCCGCCACTCACCCACTGTTCATTTAAAAGAACTATATCGCCTGCTACTCATGTCATAGAATGTTTCGTTTCACTAACAACTCACTCAACACACATTGTCTGAGGGCAATTTTACTGTAGTAAAAACCTGAGCTGGGTGTAGGGGGCAGGGGCAGGTGGATCTCTGAGTTCAAGACCACCCTGATCTACATAGTAAGTCCAAAACAGCCAGGGCTACACAGTGAGACCCTGTCTCCAAAAACTAAAATAAAATAAAAACTTGTGCCTATTGTATCATTACACTAAGTCAAGTGTACATGTAAATTCAGGGCATTATCACCATGACTTCTATCATGAATGACTTAGAAACATACCAAATGTGGAAAATGACTTGCCTCCTGTTTCAGTTTTCTTTCTTAATTTTTCTTACAATTTTTTAAAATTTTCATTTCTATTTTATGTATACAGATATTTTGCCTACATGTATGTCTATGCAGAAGCCAGAAGACAGCATCAAATTCCCTGGACCTGGAGTTATAGAATTAATAAACTGTCCCGTGGGTGCAGGGAATCCAGCCCTGGTCCTCTGGAAGAACAGGCCGTCTCCAGTCGTGTTTCTTTTCTTACATTTAAGTAAATGCTTTAATGTGAAACTTAGGATCTCTGGTATATCACACTAATGACTCACATCTCCTCCCACAAATGTCACCGTCTTCAGCCTCACTGATGCATACTTAAACCAGCTTGTTGCCTCCACTTGGAAAGAATTTCACTCTTTCTCTGCAGTCTCCTCTAATGAGAGCAGCATGTCAGTTTTGTGAATGGTCAGTTTTATGACTGGAGCAGGCACTCAGGTTACTTCAGGGTTTAACGTATACAAATAAAGCTGCTACGTGTTTTCTAATGCTAGTGTCTTTTCTTCTTTCTTTCCCTTTTTCCTAACATCACAGTCACAGAATGACGTCGTCTGCAAGGGAGTGCTCACTGATACCCTGGATGCTGCACCACAGCACCCCTCATTCGAAAGTAGCAGGTCACTTTTTATGTATGAATGTCAGGCAGAAGTCTAAGGCCCCAGATGTCAATAATTCCTCAATATCATCATTCGCTACTACTGTAGGATGACAAAAATTAACACAAAGACATTACTGAGTGTTTACATAAAGTTCAGAAACAGAGAGAGGGGAAGAAATGTGCATTAAATTCCTTGTGTTGCTCACTTTCATGGACACTTTTCACTTCTAACACTAAATAACAGGTGCACTCCTGCTAATGGCTAATCTTCCAAAGAAAAGATCTCTGGAATACAGTGTCTTACACTTCCCCTGTTTTTAATAAGTACCTTATTCTTCTTTATTAAACCAATAAATAATGCACAAGGAACTCCACGTGAAGAAATGATTTCACCTAAGGAACCAGAAGGATAACAGCAAGACTATGCACTGACTGCCACAATCCATTTATGTTTCTCTACGAGGACTCAGTAGACTACACTTCCTGTTTCCCTTGCCGTTAGACATAATTAAGTCACTAAACTCCTACAAGTTGAAAAAAATATAGGTGATTTATGCCAATCTCCAGCTAGTGAACTAAAACTCCCAGGCACATCCTTCCAAGCATCTCCCCTAACATGTTACCTGCTGACTAGGAAACAGTTTCAAGGTGACCTGAAAATACAGGTTGGATTTTCAGGTCACTGCCACACACCTTAAGGACTATCATGTGAAAAAGACTTCATTTGACTTGTTTGAAGGGGTGAAGCAGGGAGGGAAAGACGTGTACTCATAACTAACACATTATTTCAGGGAGCACATACACACTAGGGGGCCCCTGACTTATGCTTGAGTACTTTTTCATAAACAGAAATATCCAAGTATCTGGACAGTACTCACTGGCATAGTGTGGTACATTGGGAGCTGTATGGAAAAGTTTGTGGATTCCATGTCCACAATAGCTTCGAACAACTGAGAATCCATTTGCTTGGGCATGTTTCTGAATGATGTTTCCCAGTTCTCTGTATCGAACACCAGGCTTCACTGAAAGAAAAAACAAAACAAAAGCCATGAGGAAGAATAGCATTTAACTAGCAGTTGGTTTCCATACAAGGGAAAGAACTCCAAGCAGAATACCAAGGGGGCAGAAAACACACCATTTTCATCTCCTAAGAACAAACACTAGGGCTGGAGAGATGGCTCAGTGGTTAAGAGCACTGACTGCTCTTCCAGAAGACCCGAGTTCAATTCCAGCACCCACATGGTGGCTCACAGCTGTCTGTAACTCCAGTTCCTCACACAGACATATATGCAGGCAAAACATCGATGCACATAAAATAAAAATAAATAAATTATTTTAAAAAAAACACTGAAACAACAGAATGGAAAACTCATTTTGTAACCCTCTTTCCCTAAGGGTTCTCTAGAGGAACAGAACTTATAGAATGGAAAAGATGCATTTTTTGAAATATGAATGCATATACACATATATATGGGAGGGACTTAATAGAAGAGTTAGCAAGTTGTGGTCCAGGTAGTTCAACAATGACTGTCTACCAACAAAGGGTCCAAGAACCCATTAGTGGTTCGGTTCACAAGGCTGGGTGTCTCAGCTGGACTTCAGAATACACCAGAACCCCAGGTAGCAGACTACTGCCAGTGAAGGAGTAGACTTGCAGCAAGAATGAGAACAAACAGGACAGAGCAAGGTTCCTTCTCCCATGTCCGCATGGGCTGCCAGGTTAAAGGGGGACCCTCCCACCTCAAAGACCTGAATCACAAGGGGCTCTTCCCAAGCCCAATGATTCATTAAAAAAAATCCCTCGCAGGTGTGTGTGCATTCAAGTCAACAACCAAGAACAGCCACCACATTGAGAGTCGAGCGCTCCGTTCCATATTCCGTTCCAATGACCAGAAGGCATGAGAGTAAAGCACTGAGATGACTCAGTCAGTCAAAGTGTTCGCCACCAAGCCTGAGAACCTGAGTTCAATCCCCAGGAGCCACATGGTAGGAGACTACGGAACCTAGCATACACAGGTACACACAATAAATAATGAAAAATGTAAAGCATGTAAAGAGAGAGCATGAAATACAACAGGAAAAAAGAAACGTCCAAATAGACTTGTCTTTCCCCAGGTTTCAGTCAAATTATCTGCCCAGACTCCTCATTCCCAAACTAGTCCTCAGACTGACCAGCTGTCTCTGTAAAAATGCCCAGGGTCCAGAACGGTGCCCTGACTGCTATTCTCACTAGTCCGCTTCCCACTGAGTTTCGGCAGCGCTGTCCCCATGAAATCAAAGGACTCATTGTTGTGTGACACTCTTAATGACTCCTGGAGAATCCAGCATGTGTGTGTCTGATGCCCTCCAGGCTCTCCCTTCTTCAGCTCACTGAGCTACCCCATCCAGGCTTCAGTGAAACTTCCCCATGTAATTAAATGTAACCAGTCAAAGGGGTATTTTAATCAACATTTCTGAGTTTTGTTTATAATCTAACAAATAAAGCTTGCCTGAAGATCAGAGTGCAAAGCTAGCCATAGAAGCCAGGCAGCGGTGACACACACCTTCAATCCCAGCAGCCACACTAGTTAGGAATAGAGGCGGTGGTGGTGCACCTATAATACCAGCACTAGAGAGGAATATAAGGCAGGAGGAGACAGGAGTTAGTCAGGCTACAGTCACTCTGAGGACAGCATCGCCCCTTTTGGTGTGAGCCCTGGTAGAAGTGAGAACTCTCTAGCAGCGTGGCTGCTTTGCTTCTCTAATCTTCAGCTTGAACCCCAATATCTATCTCTGGGTTTTTATTATTCATGCTACATTTTCCAGTAATTTCTTCTCCCCATCCCACCCAGAGTTTATCAGTCTTGGGGAGGTGATGGACATAACTAAATTTCAAGCCACAATGCAAAATATATAATGAAAGAAATCCTCATTCAACAATAATGGTAGAGGAAGCAAGGATTCTTCCTCAAATATACAACTAGCGACAACCGTGATTCCAAGGGTCTTCTCTGTAGACATTTTTGGTCTCATAACAGAAGAGGGTTGGTAGCTGGCATCCATGGGATAGGCACCAGAGATACAGTTAAACATCTTAAAATGAAATAAAGTATTACCAGGCTCAAAGTGCCATTAATAGATACACCCAAAACTTCTACTCAGAAAGTAATTTCAATAATCTTTCAAGCTTTCTATACTCCACACTGGAGAGAGAAGTTGGTTTTTACCTGTTATAAACACTGTTGGATTTTTCTTTAAAATATGGAACATTGCCTAATGTGTGTGTTAACATCTTATCTTCTCTAGCATTCCAGGGTGAGCTGCCATGGCAAGCAATAACGCTGTGTTTTTACAGGTATAGCAGTCACCTACAGAATCAACACCTTGTGTTCTTTTCTGACTACTGCTAGGACGGTCAGTTTCTGGCCACTTCTTGCCAAATGTTGCTGTACAGTACTCCAAATGTCTGTTATGTCAGTCATGTCACAGAGGCAAATGGCAGAAACAGTCCACAAATTATTTGGGTAAAACACAAGAAAGAAATAATAAACAAAGCGTGCTGAGCGCTGGTGCTGTATGGTATAAGTGGGGGCATGGCTGGGCTGACCTGCATCGATGGCTTGCATCAGGCACTCATATGTAGTCTGAACAAGTTTCCGTGCTCCTTCATCCACATCTCCAACAAAAAAGGTCTCATTTAGATCCCCGTGATAACCATTTCGATAAAGAGTGATATCCACTGGAAAAAAAAAAGGGCAAACGTAAGCAAATGAAAATGATACTGTCTGTATTCTCACTGAGTGTATTGTTGCCTAAGAGAAACGCTCAAGGGAAATTCAACTGAACTCACTGTAGAAGACAAGAACATGGCTGTGCAGAACAAGACAGATGTGGGCTTTTAGGCTAGTACTGAGACCCTTTGTGACAGAAGAAACATTACATAAAGACAGCTGTGTAAGATAACTACCTAAGCAGGTTAGCAACACTGAGCTGACGACTTCAAGTTCTGAAATTAAACAGACAACATTTCCAGTTATCTTTAGATCACTCTTCCTGGGACACAAGAGCAAAGCCTATCTAGTTCTAGGTTTAAAAAATTCCACTGGTCTTTATCCATCTTTAAGTATTTGCTCATCTTCATCCCAGCTTAAAATAAGTAATACTACGGTGTCACTACAATAAACCACATGTCTCTCTAGAGAACACACTAAGTAAGTATCTCTACACTGCAGATTTTGAGCAGCTACCAACACTACGGAGTAGACAATTCATTCCTCAAAATGCCATATGCTGCCGGGCGGTGGTGGCGCACACCTTTAATCCCAGCACTTGGGAGGCAAAGGCAGGCGGATCTCTGTGCATTCGAGGCCAGGAGGGACCGATAGCCTCCAAAACAATACAGAGAAACCCTGTCTCGTAAAAACCAAAAAAAAAAAAAAAAAAAAAAAAAAAAAAATGCCATATGCTGTGCACAGAACAAAACTAAGGTTTAGTCCGGTGTGGTGGTACACACCTTTAATCTCACACTGGGGATGCAGAGTCAGCAGGAACTATTTGAGTTCAAGGTCAGCGACAGCTAACACAATGATACACGGTTGCAAATAACAATAATAATTAAATATTATATGACTATCAGGGCTTAACTCAGAACTTATGTTTATAAACAACCTTAAATAAGTCAGTAACAACTACAATAAAGATATTATATTTAATCTCTATCTGTAGTTGCTAATTTGGATTTTGCTTCTTTGAATACTAGAAAGACTGATTTCATTAATAATAAAAATGCCCTGTAGGGGCCTTTAGAGATGCCTCAATGGATAAAGAGCTCTCTGAACAATGAGGACCTGAGTTCCTATCCCCAGCATCCATGCAAATAAAGTCAGGTGTGGAACACATACATGCCTGTGAGCCCAGCCCTGGGAGAGCAGACACTGGAGGATCCTGGGGCTGCACTGGCCAGCTAGTCCAGTTAAAACAGTGAGCTCCTGCCTAAGAGAGAGCCCTCAGAACTAAGGTGGAGAGTGACAGAGGAAAACACCCAAAGCTAGCCTCTGGTGTCCACAGTATGCACAGGTAAGCACACACATATACAAGAACACACTCATACAAGCACAAGCTTTACATTATAGACGTTTCAACATAGAAGCTGAGTTATAAAACATATGTAATACAACATGTGACTACATCTAGGGAAGCCTACAATTTTTAGATTTTGTTTTATTGTTTGAGAACTTAATACATGAATATAATGTGTTGGGACCATCAAATCCACCCCCTATTCCTTCCATTCCCAACTTCATGTGTTGGTTTTAAACACTCGCAAGTTCTCTCAGTGCTACCTATATATACACAGGTGTAGGACACCTCCGGGAGTCAGACCATCCCTGACTTTCCCTCTCTCGGGAGCCACTGTTGCTTCTCAACTAAGGGTAGGACTTCATGAGCCCTCCGCACTCCAGCCAATTCTTGAATTTGGCCTGGCATCATCTTGTAAAGGCCTTGCGTGTTCAGCCACAGGTGCTGTGAGTTCATGTGTCCAAGGCCGTCATGTCCAGCAAACGCTGCTTCTCTACAGATGCCTGTGGTCTTGACTCTTAGCATCTTCTAAACTGGTCCCTGAGCCTTGGCAGGGGGTGGGATGAGGGGATAAGGGTGTGATAGAGATGTTCCACTTAGAGCTAAGCCCAAGTCTCATCTGTTTCTATACATGTTGGCTACTTAGGAGTCTCTGTACTAATCGCTATCTACTACAAAAAGATGATTCTGTGATCCAAGTTGAGAGCTGTACCAATCTGTGGGTATAAAGATAAAAACCCTTTATCCTTTAATGCTGTGTTCATTTAGCAGAAAGATAGTATCACGTTCTCCCCTGCAGCCTATTACCTAGCTGATCACGATAAGTTTCTTAAATCAAATCAAAAAGCAGCTGGTCATCCCCATAACTTCATGTTGTGACTGCGCCAGGGATCATCTTTTGCCAAGCCAGTTGTCCCTACAGCTCACAGGGCTCACAGCTGGGTAAGGCTGTTGATTACTTTTCTCTGGGAACTTTCCTCACTGATACTTTCAGCTCCAAAGAGAAACGTTATTGTAGCTCAACACACGCAGTATTTCCAAGAGAGCAGAGTACAGCAGTCCAAAGCCACTCCATTCTTAAGGGCACTTCTGCGGGAGCTTTTCCCTTTTCCTAAGGTTTTTATAAATTACAACTAAGGGTTTCTCTGAAATCTCTCCTGAAAACCCACCTTCATCTATTCATAACCATTAGTAAATTGTGGTAGAGGAAAAACTATATAGTAGGCACAATATTACTTCTGCATTGATATCTTTTGCCTACTAGACTGTGAAAAAATACAAGTTGTATAGAACATATACTAGATGTATACTGAAGGCAACACACACATAAAATCAATAAAAATGGGTTTCCTGACATGTGTGGTGGCAGGAAATCCACCAGCACTGGGAGGCAGAGAGACGGGCAGAATTTTTTGAGTTCAAGGCCAGCCTGATCTACATAGTGAGTTCTAGAATAGACAGGGCTCCGTAAAGAGACCTTATCTGAAAATAAAAAACAAAGTGGGTTCCTTCAATTTTGAGTGGAGCTGAGTTTTAAATAGAGGAAAAATTAAGTCAAGAAAACAGAAACAACCTAACGGACTCCAAAAAACGTGTTTCTTTGCTCACAATGAAATGTCACAAACATTTCTTACCATTAACAATATCACCTTCTTGCAAAGGTCGTCTGTCTGGAATCCCATGGCAGATGACTTCATTCACTGAGGTACAACAAGACTTTGGGAAATTATAGTAATTCAGGGGAGAAGGATAGCAATTTCTTGCAATGCATGCCTACAATAAATTAAAATATAGAGAAAATCATTTGGAGTGCACAAAAGGAAAAAAATCTGTATACAATTAATCAGATCATAAAATCTGAAGAATTTTATGACAGATGCTACTGTAAGAACTAATTTTACTTATATTTTACTTGAAAATAGTGATGAGTGGATAGATAGACAGACAGACAGACAGACATGCATGTATATATGCATAAATGTGTATAAGCAAACACACACACACACAAATACCATGTTATTGCCACCCAGGCTTTTAACTGGTACTACAAACACATGCTATCTTACCCCGTATCTAGTATGCCATATGCCAACGAAATACACTGTATGCAAACCAGCTTACTGGTCCCCACGTAAAGGAGAAGCAAATTCACAGAATACAAGCGTCATCATATGAGGACACTACTACTCTTACTTAACCACTACTTGAGAAATATACTCCGCAAAAACAACACGTTTTAGTAATTCCCTCTTACATTAAGGCCAACTCCATCCGTACAACAAGAGCATGAATGCATGTATAATTAAGAAGGGGTAAAGTGCTTTCTGCGGAGTTAGAAAGCGTTGAATCTACACGGTGGTAGCAGAGTGCTGTCGGCGCTGTGTCCACACTGCGCAGTGCTTTTCAGTCGAGTACGTCTCTAACGGCTGCACAAGATGCTGCTCGTGCCACAGTCCACAATTTTACAGGACACTCCACTGCTTCTACAAGTCTGAAAGTAACCTGAAGTTCCCTGAGACAGAAAACCCTCTTCACAGAAAATAACGACGCCTTCCCAGTGCTTCCCTTACGTGGGTGTCCTCTGTGGTTACCCATCCATCAGTTTCCATCCTTGAGGACACAGCCAGCTTCACCCCTTGGATGTCCCTCAGAGAGGGAAGTGGCGGCAGCACCTAGTCACCTCCTTCCAGAGAAAGCTGGGGGTGTCACGCGAGTGGCTATGAAGGTACTTTAAAGCGCCCTGGCCCTGGGAAGTGTTCAAATGCCTACCCATGACAAATAACATACACAATACCCCAAATCAAAATTCATGTAAGTTTAAGTAAAAAAACCACTAGGCCAGCATAGCGGTTCAGGGGGTGAGACATTTGCCATCAACCTGACAGCCTGAGCTCCATCCTCATGACCCACATGGTAAAAAGGAACTGATTTTCACAAGCTTCTCTCTCTCTCTCTCTCTCTCTCTCTCTCTCACTCTCTCTCTCTCTCTCTCTCTCTCTCTCTCTCACACACACACACACACACACACACACACACACACACACACACACACAGAGACAGACAGACAGACAGACAGAAATCCTACCCCACACAAACTAAACAATTTTTTTTTAATTTTTAAAACATTTTTATAAACTCAAGAGATACAGTCAAATTCTTTTGGGAAGGGTATCACCATTTACAATAACACAATGACTGTAACAGTATAGAATGTCAGTTTCATTCCCACCTCATAAGTAATGGATGGATAGAGAGAAATCACTAGAACCATTGTCCATGTGTTTGAACTCCTTAACAACTTAAGACATACCATGTGTAACTAGTCTATGTCTAAAAGACTAATAATCAATCTTTATTTTAAAACAAGAAGATATCACATGTCATATACACTGTACAAATTTTGTCTGATCTGTTTAGTGTCTTGTTAATGAGGTTTTTTTTTGTTTGTTTTATTTTGTTTTGTTTTTAAAGAAATGCAGTGGTTTCAATTCAGACTCACAAGCTCATATATTTGAATGCTTAGTCACCAGGAACTGGAACCCTGGTAGAAGGTGTGGCCTTGTAGAGAGAGCGTGTCACTGGAGGTAGGCTGTCTCCCCTCCCCTATGTACTTCCCTCTCTCCCTCTCTCCCTATCCCCACCTGCCTGCTTGCTGCCATGCTCCCATACATGATGGTAGTGCACTTACCCTCTGCAACTGTAAGCAAGGGCAAATTAAATGCTTTCTTTGTAAGAGCTACTGTGGTCATGCATCTTGTCACAGCAACACAACACTGACTAAGACAGGATCCTCCTAGCTCATCTGTGTATTTCCTTTTTCCTGTGTGTATGAAAGAAAACTGATTTCTTGTCTAGTTTCTGCAGTTTATTCTGTATTTCAGAACAGCTGGCATACGTAGTGGTATGGCTTATTGGAAACACTGGATAATCAAGTCTATAAAAGCTGATAAAAGGCTGTGGTTTCAGAATAAATGTCTCAAGCTTCCTTGGATTTCAGCATCACAGACACAGTCATGCCTAAGAATCTGTGGAGAACTAGAACCTGAACACCTGGCTGGCTACCAAAAGCCACACACGCTCAAGTCTTCTGTGCAGTGTGTATCTGCACATATGCGATCCACATCCTCCCCTATACTTTAAACCATCACACTATTACCTACGATTACACTATTACACGGTAAATACTCCATAGTTAGGTAATAGTAGCAAGAAATAAAAGAACACAAGCATGTCATTCAAATACGTTATTTTTTCCCCAAATATTTTCAATTGCTGCTGGCCAAATGCCTGGATGCCCAAGATCTGTAGGCAGTGTGACAGCTACGGAATGCTTCCCATATTTGAAACAATGCAAAAGTAAGCTTTCAAATTCACTTAATAAAGTTATTTTTGACATAAAAAGGAAGAAACCTAATAATTTAAAACTTCTAAAATAAAACAGTAAAGCTCTTACTAAGTGTACAGCGTGATCAATTTCTTCAGTAGTCACACCTGCTTTAATCATCCCAGCAGCAATATCCAAGACTTCTCTAGCAAGCTGGAAAATAAGTACATTTAAGAAACAAAACAGAATCTATACTCTGCACTCTTTGATTCTATGAAAAATCAGTCAAATAAAATTATTTGATATAATTTTATACACAAAATTTAAATATCAGAAACATAAAAGTATGCAGAAATAAATTGATATAAAAGTTGAGATAAACAAAGTTTTTTTTCTTTTTGGCTTTACAGTGTTTCTGTAAACAAAGTTTTTTTTCTTTTTGGCTATACAGTGTTTCTCTGTATAGCTGGCTGTCCTGAAACTCACTTTGTGGACCAGGCTGGCCTTGAGTTCACAGAGATCCGCTGCCTTTGCCTCTCTCTGAGTGCTGGGACTAAAGGCATGCACCACCACTGTCTGGCTCTAATAAGTAAACTTAATGAAAACGTATATTCTAAGTTAGATAAAGAACCAACTGATAATCTTACATTTCTAAAACGAGGGAACATGAACAGAAGCAAAAGAAAAGATTAAAGAATTTCAAAAAAGTAAAAATCACAGTTAAGTAGAATATAAAATTCTCCAAATCCAAAAATAGCATCAAATCACTTTTTAAATGCTGCACAAAAGCCTTGACATCTACATGAACAAAACCAATTATTTTTCTGTAGACAAATTTTAGTATGTGATTTCATCTAATGCCACCCATACTCCAAACACAGGTATCTCATAAGACTTGAACTTTGTCCTGTGCTCTAACATTTGTAAACACAGAAAGACAAAGAACTTCACTTTTTAAAAATAAAGCTGCAAAAACACCAACAACAAAAGCTAGTTGTAGTGACCAAGTCTTTAATCCCAGCACTCAGGAGGCAGAGGCAGGTGGTCTACACAGTTAACTCCAGGACAGCCAGGGATACGCAGAGACACTGTCTCAAAAAAACTAGATAGATAGATAGATAGATAGATAGATAGATAGATAGATAGATAGATAGATAGATAGATAGATCAAAATAAGAATAATGCTGCAAGTTCAAGCAAAGTCATGTTCATCTTTAAGTCTCTGAAATTCAGTAAATATGTTTATGCAAATAAACAATACAAAGCTGATCACAAAAACGGCAACTGCAGATGACTTAGTTTTATTCTAGATTATTTAAATATAAAAAAGTTTTGAAAGTAGGTAAAGGCATGGCTGTTAACAGTTCACATTGTAACATTCTTACAGCTTTATAGACCACAAATCACAGACATCCTGTCTGTCCGTGTTCCACCCACAAGGAGACAACAACTTACCCTACACACAAGTCGCATCCCTTCTATATCTTCAGTTGAGAGTAGCTTAATTTGAGAAGTGCCTTTAAGAGCCTGTTCAGATTCAGACATTCCTGGAATGCAAAGTGAGTGAGTAAAACAACAGAAAGACAGAACTCAGCACAACAGTACACCCCGACGACTTGGTAACAGCTGATTCTCCTTATGTACCGTATAACACCACTTCCACATCAAGAAGAGCAAAGTCAGTTTATTTTTTTAGTATTTCCAACACAAAAACAGAAAATAAAGGAAACTGTAAAGAAAAAATTCTAAACATTCTACTAGGAACGTGTAAACATTAGCCAAGCAGTGTACTCCGATTCACTAGACTACGGGCTTTGACAAGTGCAGCACAAGTTACAAGCTGCTTTTATGGCCATGTCATGAAGCATCTATACCAGCAACCAGCCATCAAATGCCTCACTGCTCTAAACCAGAATCTCAGTCACTGGTACTCAAACTACAGTTTATGACCTCTCTTGAGTTGGGTATTTTTTGTTTTGTTTTGCTTTTGTTTGGTTGGGTTTCATTTTCAAGTTTCCTGTGTACAGGTATTCTGCCTGCGTGCATTTGGTCCCCAGGAACTGAAGTTACAGGATATGAGCCATCAGGAGGGTGTTGGGAATTGAACCTGGGTCCTCTGGAAGAGCAGCCATGCTCTTAACAGCTGAGCCATCTCTCCAGACTGGTTTATGATGAATTTTAGTGGGCTTTACTTTAACTAACATCAGAAAAGTGAAAAAGGAGTAGAAAGTACCATATTCTATATTATATAATATAAAGTCCCAGGTATATATTGCTGTGAAATACCTGATTATTATTTTTATGCTCACAGATCATGTTATAAAACCCATTTCTCAGGGTCATAACTAAAAGTTTGGGAAATACTACTCAAATAATCCCCATTAATGAAATTAGTCTAACTTAAGTTTTACATATACTTAAAAAAAAACAGTCAAAAGAGCAATTTCAAAATCTTGGGGGAAAAAATGTAACAAATTATCAATCAACCCTGTTTTCAGTCTCTGAAATGAAAAATGTCCAAACTGGAGAGCAGGATGAGAGATACCATAATAGATTGAGTCATTATAGGCTTGAGGAGAGAGCTGACACTAGTGAGATCTCCAGAGATCTACAAAGATAACACCAACTTTCAAACTAAGCAATAGTGGAGAGACTACACTAATAACTCCTCCTTGATGATTAGGTTGATGACTACCCTATATGCAATCCTAGAACCTTCATCCAGTGACTGATGGAAGCAGAACCAGATACCCACAGCTAAACACTGAACTGAACTCCTGGAACCTAGTGACAGAGATGGAGGAGTGATGAGCAAAGGGGTCAAGGCCATGACAATGAAACCCACAAAGACAGCTGATGAATAAGGGGGAGCTCTTGAACCCCAGACTGATGGATGAGAAGCCAACAGGGGACTGATCCAGACCCCATGAATGTAGTGTCAGTGAGGAGGCCACAGAAATCACTGGGGCCTTGGGTAGTAGACAAATGTTTACCATGGTTTGTAAATGATCTTTGGGAGCTCATTCCAAATAGACAGATGTTCTCTCAGACTGGACACATGGGGAAGGGCCTAGGTCCTGCCCAGGATGAAATGACAGACTTTAAAGATCCCCCCCGAAGGAGGGCCTCACCCTCCCTGGGGAATGATGTGGGGATTGGCTGGTGGGCTGGTGGAGGGACAAGGGAGGAGGGGTGGGAGAGGGAGCTTGGATTGACATGTGAAGCATTCATGTTTCTAATTTAAATAAAAGCATATATTGAGAAAAAATAAAAAATAAAATTCATAAACAGAAAAAAAAAGAAAAATGCCCAAACTGTTTTGCAAATATCCTATGTATACGCCATGTGTGCTGGTAAGTGGATGGAGGTCAGAGTAATGGACATCCTGGAACAGGAGTTCCAGGCAGCTGGGTCCTCTTGAAGGGCAGGAAGTGTTGCTAACCACAGAGCTCTATCCAGCCCCCTAAATAATTTTTTCATTACCATAAATTAAGAAAAGAGTCATATCTAGAAATGACTATCCAGAAAGATAATCCTCATAGCAAGGGTAGCTACCATGTAAAGATACAAATCTCCAAACAAACAATGAACATCACAGAATGAGCATTATTAACTGGCACAACTATTCCAGCAATGCTAGCAGACACAAGTGAAAGAAAGAAAACACAAAATTTAAAAGGATAAAAGCTTAATCAATTTCAGATATTACATAGCCACAGAATAAACAAATCATCTGATGAATGCATGAAAATAAGAATTCAGCAAGTTAGCAGTTAAGATGTCAAAATCAACAACTCTACCTACCATAATACAAACAAGCTAAACTACTAAACAATAAAATACCCAGAAGAGATGTAACAGTAAAAGACCTTCAAGTAAAAGACCTGAAAACTTTGATATAAAAGAATCATAGAACAGAAAACATACCCTATTTTTGGACAGACTTAGTACTATCAAGGTATTAATTATTCCAAAATTAATCTGCAAATTGATTTTTATTTCAATAAACAATATCAACAGTACATTTTGGGAACCAAGACAAACTCACAATAGACCTAATACAGAAAAAGAAACATGCAAGAATACCCAGGGAATGTCTGAGAAAATGCAAAGGTGACAACAAGGCTGACAGAGACAGAGACATCCCCAACAGCCACGTGTGGCGATGGCATGTGCTCAGACAAACCGGCCCGTCAAACCCGGAACCAAAGACGTGAGAGCCAAATACAATAATACAAGATACATTTATCACACTACATACAAATGCTGAGAGTCTGTCATATAATGACAAAAGATTAGTGTTCAGCTGAGGAAAAAGCATAATTCAGAATGTTAGTACACAAAGAACATTTTAGAAATCAATTTTGGAAAAAAATCTAATAATCTAATAGGGAAAGAGGATAAGAATATGAACAGACATTCAAAAGGAAAGAAAATACAATTTATAATACATAACAAGATGTTAAACTTTATACATCTGAAAGGTTGAGAAATTGTGTATTCTTTTATTTTAGCTTGCACTTTTAAATTATAAAGACCATACAAACATTATTGATAACAAGCAATGCTGGTGACAATAGAAGAGAAGCAAGGTTCTGTTTTTTCTTTCAAAATGTGGACCACTCCATGAAGCTGTGTGCCATCCTTGCACACGTAACATGCTAGTCTTCACTATATCGTCTAATTTTAGATGTGATCTCTCAGAGCAAGCACACTCATGTTTCTCCTATTTTTTGATTATTTGTTTGTTTGTTGGCAGTTTTATTTTTGTTTTTGTTTTTCAAAATAGTGTTTCTCTGTGTAGCTTTTGAGCCTGTCCTGGAACTCATTCTATAGACCAGGCTGGCGTCGAACTCACAGAGAAATTCAACTGCTTCTGCCTTCAGAGTGCTGGGACTAAAGGAGTGTGCCACCCAAAGCCTGGCTCACACTCATGTTTTTTAAGAGAGTAATAATTGGCAAAAGGCTCTGAAATTTCTAATAACACAAAATAAAAATGTATATATCCTCTGATCCAAACCATTACTTTAAACAATTAACCTAAAAACAAAACAAAACAAACAAACAAAAAAAGACTCTTAATTGGAGACAAAGATGAAAATACAAGAATAGAAACTACAATCAAATTCACAGAAGCAAAACCATGTAAATAATCTAATCTAACCATTTATTAGCAGAGGCCTAGTTGACAATTATGACACACACACACACACACACACAAAACGTATGGAGAACTTACATAACTCGTATGGACTATTTCCAAGACAAGAGAAAACAAAAGAGTGGAAAGGGGTGTGTGGTGTGCTCATCTATATGTAAACCAGCACTGGGTAGAATATGTACTCACAGAGTATCTCAGGAATGATCTTAAACCTCTACAGAGTTATGTTTATTTCTTAAAACAGAAATTAATACTACATTCAAAAGATGACAATGGAATTACATGCTTCCAAGGTATCAGTCACTCATACTGCGTTTTCCTTAAATTTATTCCGAATGGATTTAGCTGAATTTTAAAAGTACATACAGAAAATGACACATGACTCCCGGCATCTTAAGAGGAAAGCAGCTATCTATCTCAGCTTATATTCAGCGGCACGGCTGTCCACACAGGCTGCAGACATGGAACCCCATATTCGGAAGGCTGAGACAAGATGACTGACCGTATAGGAGGCCAGCTTGGACTAGGTAATTAGATCATGTCAACACCAAAGCATTTTAAATTTTAAAATGAACACATAAATAATACGAAAAATCTCTGGTATTCACTAGTTCTCATTTCTGACATGCAAAACCAATCAACACCTAGTCCAACCTGAACACTATACAAGTTCAAAGGTCAGAGACTAAGTCCACTGACCTGTGTGGCAAATTATTCATCTTGTCTGCATGTCTCACTATCATTATCTATAAAATAGAGAAGACAACAGAACCTACCTCAGAAGTGTTCAAAGTATTAAATGGAGAACTTAGCACAGTGCCTGACACACAGCTAAGCAAAAATACACATCAATTCCTTACTATTAGAGAATCCCCACGGTCACACTCATCCCAGCCACCAGCGCGCCATCACTACTACTCCTCTACTCTGGCTACAGGCACTCGGGCCTTCATCATCCATGTCTGCCCTCATTTACGTAAGAGCAAAAAGAACATCAAACAGTTCCCTCCCATCTGGCACTTCATTTATAACAAAATACTGAATGTAGTCTTTAATGGCCACATAAGCAGTTTTCAGAACTGGACAGATTCCTAGTGAGGGAAAAAAATCTTCATTTATTTTAAATGCTCCACTGTGGCTTTAAAAACAGAAGTTTGCATACACTACATGTCCAGCACTGAAAACTATCCTTCGCAGTGATAACCAAGCCCACAAGGGATCAATGCAGAAGCAGGCAAGCAGGACTTACCTAGGGGATGGTCAGCGTAGTCTGGCCTCTGGATGTAACTGGGCACTGGCCTGGTGGGCATCTGAAAACAGTAACAAGATCAGCTCAACACTATGAACTAGTACTGAAAACAAGCCTGGGAAGAAAGCAGAAGAGTCAAGTTCATGCCACAGCTTTCATAAGTTAATCTGCACTGACATGTTAATATCGTAAGATTCCCATTTCAGTCTCGGAGGCTAAGCTTACTTTCTTCTATGTCAGTGACACATGCATGTTTGAGAAAGGATTAGAGTGGTACCCATGCTTTAAGATTAGCTGTGAGGCTGGAGAAATGGCAGTGTTTAGGAAATGTAGTGAAGGAATTAGATAGGAGAGTGAGCTGCGGCTGAGTCTGACCAAAACATTGTATTCATGCACAAAATTCCTACAGGAAGGGACTGCAGTGGTACTTAAGCCTCCGTCATTAGGTTACAATGTGTGCGTCAAAAATTCGTAGAACAGCAGTGTCATACACTACTCTCTCATGACAGCCATAAGAATATTTGACAGGTGGTGGTGGCGCACGCCTTTAATTCCAGCACTTGGGAGGCAGGGTCGGACAGATCACTTTGAGTTCAAGGACAGCCTAGTCCACAGAGTGAGTTCCAGGACAGCTAGAGCTACACAGGGAAACCCTGTCTTGAAAAGGAGGAAGGGAGGGAGGGAGGGAGGGAGGGAGGGAGGGAGGGAGGGAGGGAGGAGGGAAGGGAGAGGAGGGAGGGAGGAGGGAAGGGAGAGGAGGGAGGGAGGAGGGAAGGGAGGAGGCAGGGAGGAAGGGAAGAGGGAGGGAGGGGGAGGGAGGGAGGGAGGGAGGGAGGGAAGGGGAAGGGCGGGATGGAGGAGGGAGAGAGGGAGGGAGGGGGAGGAGGGAGGGGGAGGAGGGAGGGGGAAGGAGGGAGGGGGAAGGAGGGAGGGGAGGAGGGAGGGGGAATTGGGGGAGGGAGGCGGGAGGGAGGGAGAAGGGAGGGAGGGAGGAGGGAGGGAGGAGGGAGGAGGGAGGAGGAGGGAGGAAGGCTCTACCCCACTCTTTTAAACTGTGTGAAGTGTCCGTCTCCATCTGAATCTCTCCACTCCGCAGCTGCCCTTGGCCCACCAGTCCCCACACGATGCACCCCAGGTCTGGCTGCTGGCTGCTTCCTTCGGAAGGCAATCCCGCTCATCAGTCATGACCAGAGACAAATCACAGGAGACTGAAAACCGCTTAGAGACACTGTTCCATTCTGCTCACTTTACACACTCACCAGTGGGTAATGCGGCCTCAGTTTCCCGGTGTAGCGGTACCCTGCCCACGGGTCAGTGTTCACATCACCTTCTACAGTCCAGGCACACACTTCCCGTTTTGCCTTTTCATCTTCTGGGAGAGAGATGGACAGATGTGAAGGCGAGGAGAGAAGGAGGAGAAGCTTCAGTCACCAGGCTGCTGAGCAGCATACTTTAATCCTCACTTAGCTCAACACAGACCAGAGCCAAAAGTCCAACCTAACCTGACAAGCAGCTGCCTTACTGCTCTGCTCACAAACCTTCCGACCTCAGTCTCAGTGCCTGGGGCTGTCCACAGTCTCAGACAGAAGAACAGCAGCCAGTGGTAAACATATGCTCTCTGCAATGTCAATTCATACAAACTTAACTGAAAATATCAAATATGAGCTAAACCTTCCCATCTGAATTCAGACTCCACAGCTGAACTCTATGTTCTTATTTAAAAGCAGTAATCCTAAATCACCCTACAGCAAACTCACAAAAAAAAAAACTTCCAACTTAACCAATCAATGGCTTTTTTTTTAAGTTTTTTTTTCCTTCAAGATTTTTTTTTTACATGCATTGGTGTTTTGCCTACATGTATGTCTGTTTTAGGGTACCATATCCCCTGGAACTGGAGTTACAGGCAGTTGTGAGCTGCCATGTAGGTGCTGGGGATTGAACCTGGGTCCTCTAGAAGAGCAGTCATTGCTCTTAACCACTGAGCCATCTCCCCAGTCCCCCAATACAAAATTATTTCTGATTCCGAAACAAAAATGGACTCCAAGCCAGGCGTTGGTGACACACACCTTTAATCCCAGCACTCGGGAGGCAGAGGCAGGGAGATCTCTGTGAGTTCGAGGCCAGCCTGGTCTACAGAGCGAGTTCCAGGACAGCCTCCAAAACAATACAGAGAAACCCTGTCTCGAAAAAAAAAAAAATAGACTCCATTCACTGTCACTAGATTCAAGTATTATTGAAAAAGTTTCAAAATGACAATTGATGCTTGTTTCAGGTAAGACTAGCATGAAGTGGTTTGTCTGAAACAGGATACATCTCTTTAAATCTAGGATTGAGAATCAAGATTCAGGCTTTGGCTGGGCACAGTGGTACCCGCCTGTCATCGCAGCAGCGGGAGACTAAGGTGGGGCAATCATCAAGTTCAGGTCATACAGAGAGCTACGTCCCTGTCCAGGGCTGTCCAGATGGCTCAGTGAATAAAGGAGGCAGCCACACTCTAGCATGTATTCATGCATGTGCATGTACACATACACATAAATGGTAAATGCAAATTAAAAGACCATTTAGTCCTGTCTCCTAGGGAGCAAGTAAGGAAAAGGAAAGGAAAGGAAGCCTTTCAAATCTCCCTGCTGATCCACATTCCCGCCCTTTTACAAACAGTATTCTCAAAGGAGAACTGAAATCAGACCACAAACAAACACAAAAGCCACCAAGACAAACAAGGCTGAAACACAGCAAGTTCTTTTCTAATCTCTACACAAAACTCACTAGAAATTTACACCTGAAAATTTAAGTAAACTAACATTCCAGGATCCACTTAATCCAAGTCTCACATACTAGACAAGCGCTAGATTTCTAATAACCCTGAAATGAGCTGAGGCTGGCAGCAAAACTTTTTAGACAAATATAAAAGCAAAGGACACTGTACGTTCTTTTTCAAAAACCACAGTGCCATAGGTCCAGATAAGATGCAGGCAGTGAGTGAGCTAAAGAGCATCAGACTTCACGCATAGATATAAGACAAAAACACATGACCTCCAAGCTGTACACTCCCACCAAGGGAACAAACCAAAAGCAGTAAATCTCTTCCTTTCTGGTTGGTAAGCTTTCACTTACAGTATTTCCCACTCACAGACTACAAATCCCACCCCATCCCCCATGGATAACCCAGCACTCCCATTAAGCACAGATCACTTTATACCACTACAAAAAAGTATCTTATTTCCTTTTCCTACAAAGATGGTTTGGCTAACCTCAGGTGCTTTGGTAAAGCACTCTAACAAACTTCATTAGACCAATGAGCTCCTTCCTAGAAACAGAGGCAGATGAGTACAAGGTACCAAAATCATTAGCACAGCAGGTTCTTGTCGGTTCCCAGGGAACCATGGCAGGCTGTCTCAGGTCAGTCACACTAATATCCACACTTACAGGATGAGGAGCCGATGCAGAAAGGCTATCTGAATAACAGCCACACCAGTGTGGCTAACAATGGCTAAGAAATAGATAACAATTTGTGGGGTAACACAAGACACCCCAAAATCAACAGGGTGTGGTGACACATGCCTATAATCTAGCACTTGGGAGGTAGAAACAGGGAGTCAGGGATTTAAAACCAGTATCAGCTACAGACTAACAGAGATCTGGCCAAATAAAATCAAGCAGGCCCTGCATCCTCAGCCTACAGTATAGTATGCAGGCATTTCTAGGAAAGACAAGAGGGTGCCAAAAGGCACTATCAGGTACTAGCCTAGCAAAGATCTCACGTTCTCATAGTACATGCATGAACAAGATTAACCAGATGTAATCAGACGTATTTTACTACATACTACTGAAGACCAATCCCAGATGTCAGAATTAGTTTCAGAAATAAGAGGAGTCCTGACCCTGGCACAAAAGCTGCATCCAAGGCCAAAGGCATAAGGACAAGCAAAGCTACTTACTTGCTTTCTTATGTAGTAACTTGTGAGTAGCCCAACTTCCTTTAAAGCAGTCCTAAAAGAGCAAACAGGGAAATCAGTTTCAGGCCTTCCTTAGTCAGAAACATTTTTAAGGACTGTTACACAGAAGAAACAGTTACTGGCTAGGCATGGTGGCAACTCGCCATTAACCCCACCCCTCTGGAGGCAAGGGCCTGCAGGTAGATTCCAGGCCAGCCAGGACAACACACTGAAAGACTACCTCAAAAAATGAAATATAAATGAAAAGACTGAAACACAAGGGTTTGCAGGGAGATATTGGGCGTTGGTGGCACACGCCTTTAATCCCAGCACTCAGGAGGCAGAGGCAGGCAGATCTCTGTGAGTTTGAGACCAGCCTGGTCTATAGAGCGAGTTCCAGGACAGCCTCCAAAACAATACAGAGAAACCCTGTCTCCAAAAACCAAAAAAAAAAAAAAAAAAAAAAAAACCTTAAGAAATGACATCAGCCAGGGCCAGGCAGTGGTGGCGCACTCAGGAGGCAGAGGCAGGCAGATCTTGGGAGTTCGAAATCAGCCAGGTCTACAGAGCTAAATCTAGGACAGCTAAGGCTGTTGTTACAAAGCAACACTGTCTCGAAACCCCCCCAAAAAAGAGAGAAAGAGGGGGAAGGGAGGAGGGAAGGCCATCAACACAGTATCAGTTCAGAAAGGGATCTAGGGTAGAGTTAGAGTTCGGCAGTAGAGCATTTTGCCTGAGCTTGTATGTAATGCCTTCTATAACAATCGTATGGCAGCCCTGTCCAAGTCCACCCTGCACTGTGTTTGAACGTGACTCCCTAGCTAGCCATATTATATCTGGGACGCTGCAAAGCCTTAGGAAGGAGCTCCAGTGGGTCACTGGAGCTAGCCGTAAGATCTGGCGTCTGGTCCGCCCCCTGACTGCAGATACAAGGTGACCAGCTGCCTCATGCTTGGCCCACCAGCATTCCTCACTGCCATGGACTTAAATCCCTCCTCAAACTGTAAGCCAAAACAGCCATCCTCCTGAGTTTCTTCCTGGGAAGCTGGCCAGAGCAATGAAAACTAATACAGTAACCAACAGTAAAAGAGCTCTCAATGGGCAAAAGAGGCAGGTGGATCTCCGGGAGTTTGAGACCAGCCTGGTCTACAAGAGCTAGTTCCAGCACAGCCTCCAAAGCCCAAAGCCACAGAGAAACCCTACCTCGGAAAAAAACAAAAACAAAAACAAATGCAAAAAACTTTTAGCCAGGCGTTGGTGGCGCACGCCTTTGATCCCAGCACTTGGGAGGCAGAGGCAGGCGGATCACTGTGAGTTCTAGGCCAGCCTGGTCTACAAAGTGAGTTCCAGGACAGCCTCCAAAGCCACAGAGAAACCCTGTCTCGAAAAACCAAAAAAAAAAAAAAAAAAGGTGGATACACACCACCCTCTTTTCCTCTGGCTACATATCTAGGGTCTTTAGAAAGCCTGCAATGTCAACAATCCCACATCACCAACATGTCTTTTTTTTTCTAAGATTTGTGTGTGTGTTACAGGCACATGCAGTAGTGTACACAAAGGCCACCAGAGAACATGAGAACCTCAGGAACTGGAACTTCAAGGCAGCTGACAGCCATCCCATATGAGTTTTGGAAACTGAACTCTAGTCCTCTGTGGGAAGAGCAAATGCTCTCTCTCACTACCCCACCATCTATCTAACTTGCCCCAAAATATGCCTTTACAGCTATGTATTTGGTTTAAATTCTATGTCCAACATTATCTTTAGAATTTTGTCATATTTCCATCTTGGTTGGTCAATTCCTTCTAATTATTTTTGTAAGATATCACATGACATTTGGATGAGAAACACCCACTGCTGCCTACATGTGAGCTGTCAAATGACGGACAGAATCACTGATGGACACTTCTGGACAGAAGCGGAGACTGACAAGTAATGGACAGGCACATCTACTATGTACTAGTAATCTATGGACTGAAGAGTCCGTTCTCTGTCACTGCTGCTCTGGAAAAAGTGGCTGACTGGTTGCAATAACTTGTCCAAAATATAACTCAGGCATAGAGGTGCATATGCCTATAATCCCAACATAAAAAAGCTAAGTTAGGATTGCCACAAGTCCTTAGGGAGGACCCAGCTTGGACTACATAAGAATTTGTCTCAAAAAATATTTCACCCAAACATTGTTAAACAATACTTACTCTCAAATATATTTTTAAACCTACTTTCACTATATGAGGTTAGGACCAGAGCAATTCTTCAGCAGTCAAGAGTACTTGTTGCTCTTACAGAGGACCTGAGTTCAGTTCCCAGCACCCACAACCATCCTTAACTCCAGTTCCAGTGGATCTGATGGCTGCTTCTGACCCCCAAGAACACCAGGCACCCACATGGCACAAACACATATATGCAGACACAACACTTTCACACATGATAAATAAATCTAAATGATAAATATGGTAATAAGAAATCATTTACCAAACACTAGGCTAGGCATTTTATATGATCTTATTCACCTCCTTCCTCACTCTAAGAATGGTACCATCCATCAGTCCTCTCTTAAAAGTTACAAGGAGGGGCTGGAGAGATGGCTCAGAGGTTAAGAGCACAGACTGCTCTTTCAGAGGTCGTAAGTTCAATTCCCAGCAACCACATGGTGGCTCACAACCATCCATAATGAGATCTGATGCCCTCTTCTGGCCTGCAGACGTAAATGGATGCAGAATGTTATATTCATAATAAATAAAAATATCTTAAAAAAAAAGTTACAAGGATACTGGAGCAAAGACTGAAACCCAGCCAGACGGTGGTGGCACACGACTTTAATCCCAGCACTCAAGAGGCAGAGGCAGGCGGAACTCTGTGAGTTGGAGGCCAGCCTGGTCTACAGAGCAAGCTCCAGGACAATCTCCAAAACAATACAGAGAAACCCTGTCTCAAAAGAACAAAAAAACAAAACAAAAAAAAGAGACTGGGACCCAGGTCTGATTGCAGGGGCAGTCTCCTTCACTTAGCTACAGGCACTGACTTTTTAAGCTCTGGAATTCATGCACTGTAATGCACCATTCAGTCCCTTCTCAGCTGTGAAAGACAATGAGCAGCATAGAACCTTGTTACATCACAGCAGTTAGGAAACTGAAATTTTAAGCTCTGCCATAATTAATAAATGACAGTAATTAATAGACACCTTGTCCAGTAGTACCTATTCTTTCAAAAGATACAGTAAGAGTAGAATCCCACTTCCCATGGCAGGCCCTTTCCTTCAGCTTCTCATTTAATGAACTGAGAGTACATTGATACCACAAGGAACTTGAGAAAACTAAAGGAGTAAACCTCAGCCCCATCTCAAAAAACAAAGCTCTCACAAGTGAGGAAAACAGTGTACATATAACTACTATTAGTTCAGTAAGAAGGGATACCTATCGAGACGAACATCACCACCTTTGGAGAGATCAATTTTAAGAATAATGGGTCTTATTCCATTAAAGGAAGAACTTTTCTGAAAAGAAAACAACTCAGATAAAAGTATTTCTGTTTTTAAGCATTTAACAATAAAATGAGCCTTTATTTACGTAACTTTACTTCTCTGGTCAGTGTCTTACCTACTCACTTCACCTACCAACATCTCTGGTAGGAACTACTAGTGCCCCCATTTCCAAAAGACAATGAGAGTCGAAGCTTTATGCAAAGTCACACAGACGACTCTTTCTGCCTTTCCAGACACTTACTCACTCATTCAAATGTGTCCACCACCTGCTGCATACAAAGTACAGTACAAGGAAATGAGCACTCAGCCATGAAAATGATGCCTCACCTTATGATCAAAGACACTGTCTTCCGTCTTCTAACAAGTAAGGTAGCTGCAGGTCATTAAAACGTTATATATATTTTTAAAAAAAAGTTATGGCATTATAAACAGGTGTCTTTGTAGTTGTTTGGTTTGATCCCAAAGACAAGCTGTATCAGGGAAAGGAGAGTGAGAGGCACAGGGGGGGGGGGGGGGGACCTCTAAAAAGAACAATGGCAAGGAAAACCCTTAGTCTCAACGGTGATGTAAAATGTGTTTAGGAAAAGTTACAGTGGCTTGCTAAGGGCTCTATTGGGACTGAAAGAACAGCTGTGATTTCAGAGAGCAAGTGACATTTTGAGTAAGTAAAGAGTATAAGCACAGCCCATGACTACAGCAAGATAATCGGCTAGTCTGAGAAGAGCTACCTAATTTTGGAATCACAACATCAAAAGCAGTAAGAGTCTCAACAGTGAAATAAGCATGATCCAACTGTGGGGAAAATGACTTTTATAGGCAAGATCTTGTCTGGTTTGGTTTGAGTGGTTTGTTTACAAAGTGAAGAATTACAGTGGAGAAATGAATGAACTACTACAACTGACTCAGTGACAGGTTTTACAAAGCAGCCATGGAAGATAATAATAGGAATGAAGAAAGCATACACCACGCTGAAGGTCTGATTACTGGTCTAGCAGTAATACTACTACTACGATGATGGGGATGTCCTTCTGTATGCTGTGAATATGTTTCTCTTATTGGTTGATGAATAAAGCTGTTTTTGGCCAATGGACAGGCAAGATGTAGGCAGGAAGGAAGTACAGGCAGGGCTACCAGGCTAGGAGAAGGCTGGAAAGAGGAAAGCAGAGAGTAAGTTGCCAGCAAGACACCACGTAGCTGCCTAGGGAGCAAGAGGTCCAGGCATAGTCAAGACCATGTGGAGATACACAAATTAATAAAAATGGGTTAATGATAAATAAGAAGCCTGAGCCATCGGCCAAACAGTTTATGATTAATATAAGCCTCAGTGTGTTTATTTGGGTCTAAATGACTGTGAGGCCAGACAGGACAGAACCATCTGCCTACAATATACCTACAGAATCCAGCAGAGGCTACATTCTTTCTATCATAAATAGTCTGGGATGTTCTGACAAATGTCTGACAGTTCTCCAAACTACAATAATTCAATATTCCTCATAACATACTTGATGAAGTTTTCCAAAACCTTTTAAGCATTTATATATATTTTAATTAATATATAATTACATCATTTCCCCCTTCTTTTTCCTCCCTCCAACCCTTCCCATAAACCTCCATTACATGTGTGTTAAATTCTTATCGAGGGAGGGAGGGAGGGAGGGAGAGAGGGAGGGAGGGAGGGAGGATAGTGGCTGGGCTGGAGAGATGGCTCAATGATTAAGAGCACTGGTTGCTCTTCCATAGGACCCACTACGGAAAGCAGGTTAGCCTAGGGGGATCTCTGTCACCCAAGTGTGCAATTAAAGGTGTGTACTATTAAACACTGTATAGACTACATTAATCTAATCAGGTGGTTCACAATTTTCATAGCAAATTTTTGTTTTAAGTCCAGGTCCCACACAGAACTCATTAAGTTAGAACTGGAAAATGTTAAAGCCACGCAAGAGGCCCTGTACTGGGTTGATAGCCCTAATGCTATTTTTAGATCAGGCAACACTTCTCCACGTGCAGCGTTTTTGCAAAACGATAGCAACAAGGTCAAGGATCATATACTCCCTAAAAACAAGACCCTTACAACAGTGAGATCTCTTGCAATGGCTTGTCTACAATTATTAATACTTTTAATCATAGGTTTTAATTTCACATTTCTCTTTGCATGTACTTTATACTTGAAAATAGTTTTTGTTGTTTTCACATTACTATCGATGCCCTCCCAAGAGCAGGGTTTTTCTATGTGGCCCTGGCTTTCCTGGAACTCGAGAGATCCACCTGCCTCTGCCTCCCAGATTAAAGGCTGGCCACCACCGCCTGGCCACATAACTATTTTTATTCAACTTTATTTAGATATCAGTATTAAATTGTACTGGAATCCTAAACAACAACAAAAAAGGATCTACATCTATATGGCGTTGCCTTACTTTCAGTGCAACCTTGTGAAATAAAAAAGGAAAACGATCCTCATTCTGTCTGTACAGGGTAACGCTGGACCTCGGGAAGTTACTTCAAGATCTCACAGGAATTAGCATACCAAGGCCTTTGGACTATTGATTAACTCACCTCTCCCAGGAACCTATCAGTTTATTATCAAAATACTTATATGCCCCTCGTCAAGAAACTGTTAACTGAGAGTCCCTAACTGCCTATTGCTGCCTTGCCATCATTCTGAGTCTGGAAACCCAACGGAACACAAATACTGTTCAGTAAGCACACTCTTCTGTCAGGGGTTTGCTCGGGTGTACAAAACTTCCTAAATACATCAGAGCCTTAAAGAATAGCCATTGAGGGAACTGTCCTTTCCACTCCATGGGAACTTCAGTAACAGAAGTGACTCTTCAACTCAACTAATAACCCGAGATGCCAACGGAAAAGAATGAATTACACAGTTCCCTCTCCACTCCCACACCCAAAGTTGCTTAAATGTCAAAGCACGGTAGTAAAACACATGGGGAATGAGGCTGAAACTGGCTCCCCTCTTCAGGAGGCTGCGGCCACCCCGAGGCCCCGGCGGCTTGCTTCCGTTCCCCGTCCGGGATTGCACAGGCACCACCCGAGTGAAGCCCCAGGAGGGCGGCCACGGCGTCCAGACCCGACCCCGGCTCGGGCGGAGGTCGTAGGCTACCGGCTCCCGCGCGTCCCCACCTACCCACACACCTGGCCGCCCTCCCCGCCGCGGAAGCGCAGCCCGAACCCGCCGCAGGTCAGCTTCCGCTCCCGCGAGCGCCGGCGGCCGGCTCCCGAGGCCCGGGCCGCTCCGAGGCCCGAGGGGGAGGCAGCAGGGCCCGGGGGCGGAGGCCCGGAGGGGCGCGGGCTGAGCGGCTACCTGCGAGCAGAAGTACGAGCCCTGGATGCCCAGCTTGATGCAGGTGGGACACTGGAGCTTGGCCTCGCTGCTGCAGCCGTCCGTCTCGCAAACCCGCGTCTCCACGGCCGCCATGCTGCCCGCCTGCCCGCCTGCCTGCCTGCCGGAGGAGGAGGAGGAGAAGGAGGAGGAGGAAGGAGGAACGGCCGAGGGAGGGGACAGACCCAGCCGGGGAGGAGCTCGGCCTGTAAGCCTGGGCGCCGCACGGGGACGAGTAGGGCCCGTCCCTACGCTGCGCGCCCCGCCCCCGCCGCGCACGCGCGCCTAGCGCCCCGCCCCTCACCCGGGCGCGCGCTCCCCTGCTACCCCGCCCCTCTCCCGCACGTCCTGCGGGCGCCCGACAGCCCCGCCCTCACCGCGCACGCGTGCTGGCGCCCCGCCCAGCAAGCTCGCCCTGCCTCGGGTGGCTCGCCTGACCCTAGCTGCGCTGCCGGTACCACGTGGGGTCCGCGGATTCCCACCCCACTACACCACACTTCCGTTGTCTGGACGCCTTCTCGCCTCCCGCGTGACTTCCAGACGCCGACAGTGAAATTCCCACACTCGCAGGTGGTTGGAAAGGGCGTGGTTCTTTGGGAAGTAGTTCCCTTTTTTGAGTTGAGCTCTCTGGCAGTGCTTGCCTGAAACCTCCTCAAAATAAAGAAGCCCATTCTCAAAAACTATCAATGGAGTCCACATTGGACTGAAATCAGCCCTTCCTGAAGCCTTTCTTTCACACCCCGCCATTGAAATAAACAGTGCTGGTATCTGTAAGATTGTTCAATACCAATGATCTTTTGTATGAACCTGATTTTATATTATAATTATTTTATTATATTAATTGTGCTAATCAAGAAATGTGGACGTTCTTTTAGAGCTTATCAAATACAAACCTGTCGCCTTCATCTTTCAAGTATACATATGTACTAACTTGTGTTTGTCACTAGTAGAAAAAAAAGAAGCAAATTGATATTTATTTGATCAACAAAATGTTATGGATTTTGTTATTTATCTTTCCACCTCAACAGACCAGAAAAGCTCGTGTTTGAATAACTTTTGCTGTATAACCACTGTATAGCTTCTACTAAAAATGTATACATTTAAGCATAAAATATCAGTGACTGCATATGTGTATGCTTGTATGTGACATGACTACAAACCCTAGCTTCCTAAACTATGGCTCACAAATTCTAATGTGAGGGGTCGCAAAATATTTGGCAATAGTAAAAGGTTTTTGAAAGCCTATCGACCAAAAGTTAATTCAAAATTAAACGCAAAATGCATCGCAGGTGGGGCTGGAGAGATGGCTTAGAGGTTAAGAGCACTGACTGCTCTTCCAGAGGTCCTGAGTTCAATTCCCAGCAACCACATGGTGGCTTACAACCATCCGTAATGAGATCTGGTGCTCTCTCCTGGCTTGCAGACATACATAGAGGCAGGATGTTGTATTCATAATAAATAAATAAAATCTTTTTTAAAAAATGCATCGCAGGTATTTCCGGCCGCGCTTAGCAGGTACATCAGGACTTCTCAGCAGAGTTAATTCGGAGTCCACTGTGTACGCAGCGCATTGCGAGTGGGTGCTGACACACACAGGCAGCCAACAAATGCTTCCGCTGGAAACTTCCGTGTGTTGTGAATTACAGTGTTTTTGTTGTTTGTTTGTTTGTTTTACCATACTTGGTATTTCGCTCATCAGCATAATGGTCTCATTACAGACTTCTAGTATTTCCCTACCATCATTCTTCACCAATGTCAAATCAGTGTATCCTTAGATTCAATTGCCTTTGAGTAGCAGTTACCCTATGGTAGTTAGAACTCTGCTTAGTGAATTGAATGTTTGTTTCTATACATTGCTGTTGGAGTTGTTGACTTGAATTTCTTTTTTTTTTTTTTTTTTTTTTTTTTTTTTGGTTTTTCGAGACAGGGTTTCTCTGTATTATTTTGGAGGCTGTCCTGGAACTCACTCTGTAGACCAGGCTGGCCTCGAACTCACAGAGATCCGCCTGCCTCTGCCTCCCGAGTGCTGGGATTAAAGGCGTGCGCCACCAACGCCCGGCCATTTTTTTAAATTATTCAGTAGATTTTGGCTTGGATTAGAAAGAATTTCCAATAATACCTAAAGTGGAACCAGAATATACTTCTGCCATTTTGTACTATGTATTTATACTGCGGTGGAAAAAAATTAATAAACGTTTAGGTTGTGACAAAGAAAGAGAGCCCTCTGATCATGGAGTACATGACCAGAAGTTCGAACCCTCGGGAAACTTCACCAACATCTGCCCCTACCCGCTTGCTTTGAGAAGACCGGGAACCAGATAGCCTCTTGACCTACTGGTAGTAAAACTTTAAGATCGCAGGATGTGCTCCGGGTTGTACGCCCCTAGCCCACAGATGTGCCAATTAATTTTACCTAACCGGGTGACAGTTACTGTCAAGGCACTTCATTTCATGAGGACCTTGTGTGGAAACTTTGCGTGCTAAGTAATCTCTGTAACCATGGGAACCTTGTGAACTGAGACTTGCCATCTCAGGAGTCTCCCTCCCCTTTTTCCTTTAAAAGCTTCTCTTTTTGGCTGTTTGGCATCTCACTTCCCCACCATGGGGTGAGATCCAAGGTGGCCAGCTTGAACAATTAAAAGAAACCTTTTGCTTTTCCTTGGGTTAGCCTCTGGGATTCCGAAAACCTGGCATAACAATACAAAGCATTCTCAGCATTGGCAATTATAAATCAAGATACTAATCGACTATGAAAATCATGAAATATACTCTATGACCTGTAGTGCCAAATACTCAACCAAGATTTATTTATTTTTTATTTTTTATTTTTCTAGATGGTTTCTCTGTGTAGTCCTTGTCCTGGCTGTCCTGGAACTGGCTCTGTAGACCAGGCTTACTTTTACTTCTTATTCTATGGCTTCCTGTGTACCTGGGTGGCTGGCTCCCTCAAGTCTTCCTCTCCTCCTTTTCTGGTTCCTTGATCCTCTTCTTTCTTTTTCTCCTTCTATTTATTCTCTCTGCCTGTCAGCCCCGCCTATCCTTTCTCCTGTCTTGTTATTGGCCATTCAGCTCGTTGTTAGACCAATCAGGTGTCTTAGACAGGCAAAGTACCACAGCTTCACTGAGTTAAACAAATGCAACATAAAGGAATACAACACATCTTTGCATCATTAAACAAAATTCCACAACATAAACAAATGTAACACAGCTTAATATTCTGCAACACCATAGTCTTCTGTACACATGGTATATGCTCACAAGACACATACACATAAATATAAAATATATTTTAAGTATTTTTAAAATGTTATTCCACACCAAAGAATTATTTTCTTTATTGCATTGTGTGTGTATGTGTGTGTGTGTATGTGTGTGTGTGTGTGTGTGTGTGTGTGTGTGTGTGTGTTGGCCCATGCACACTGTAGCAGGCATTTGGAGGTCATAGGACAAGTTGCAGAGTCACTCTCTCTACCATGTGAGTCCCAGGAATGGAACACACATTGGATGGTTTGGCATCAAGTGCCTTTACCAACCTGAGCTGTCTCACTGGTTCCAAAGGATTTTTTAAAAATGTCTTTGTGATTTGCTATCAGTGAATGTCTAATTTGTATACCATTGTATGTACCTCTGTGCTTAGGGTTGTGTAAATGTTTCTCTGGCAGAAAGGGTCACAACTGGGAAAGATGTATTAAGTCCTGGTATGTAGAGATATATTGAGAGGACTGACGAGATGGATCAGAGGTAAAGTGCTTGCCCCTCAAACGTAAGCAGAGAGTTAAATTCCCAGAACATATGTAAAGGTGGGAGAAAAATAACTGTACAAATGTAGGCAGACTTCTTTCCTGCCCACCAAATAACCTACATAGAGACTCAATGTTAATTATAAACTCTCAGCCAGTAGCTCAGGCTTATTAATAACTAACTCGTAGAACTTGAATTAACCCATTTATATTAATCTACATTCTGCTATGTGGCATTACCTCTCTTTTATCTTGCTCCTCCTGTTTCCTCTTCATGGCTCACTCAACTCCTCTGACTCCACCTCCCTTCATCTCAGCGATCTCTCTGCCCCTAAAATCCTGCCTACCTATTGGCCAATCAGCTTTTTATTAACAATGAGAGCAACAGATTTGCACAGCATACAGAAAGATTACTCCACAGCACACAAAGCTGTCCTCTGATTCCCAATGTGCATCCCATGGCACAAATGCACACATATACCACAGTAATAAATAAAACTTTAAAATATATTTTAACTGCACCATATAATGCAACGTAGTCACTTGTTTTCTATACTATATTGTAAACTTATTTACTGTTACTAATACATTTGTCTCATACTTTAGTGACTACGTGTATTCTATGAATAATTTACTAAATCAAATCCACTAATAATAGAAATACGGGCTATTTCTAACTGCTATTTGCTATAAAGATATCAACAAACATTCTTTTAGCTACAACTTCATGCCTGTGTGTTTCCTCTTTCACTTGCTAAGTCAAAGAGTTTTTTGCAGTTCATCATATCTTTTTTTTTAAAGATTTTATTTATTTATTATGAATACAACATCCTGCCTCTATGTATGTCTGCAAGCCAGGAGAGGGCACCAGATCTCATTATGGATGGCTGTGAGCCACCATGCTGGGAATTGAACTCAGGACTTCTAGAAGAGCAGTCAGTGCTCTTAACCTCTGAGCCATCTCTCCAGCCCCAGTTCATCATATCTTTATGTAGTTCCTTATATAACTCCCTACAGAACATTTAAAAGGGAAGAACATTTGTAAGCTACAGTAGAGAAACATCTTGTCAAAGTGAAAATCACCATAAAGTACAAATCAATTTTGTACATTTTCTTATATGAACCATGAAGAAATTGGGGTGTATTTTCTGGTTTTCCTACCCAAAAACACATAATCAATGCTAATCAGAATAAAATATCAGACAAACACGAACTGGAGAGTCTATAAGGTGTAACTGACCTGTACTCTTCAAAATTCTCACATTTCGGGCTAGGGAGATGGCTCAGAGTTTAAGAACAGTGGCTGCTCTTCTAGAAGTCCAGACTTCAATTCCCAGAAACCACTTGGTGGCTGGCAACCACACAGTGGCTCACAACTTCCTATAATGAGATCTTGTGCCCTCTTCTGGCATTCAGTCAGAACGCAGTATACATAATAAATAACTAAATCCTAAAAAAAAAAAAAGAAGAAGAAGAAAATTCTCATATTTCACAAGACAGAAAGCTATTG